TACTTCGTTGGGCCGCCTCGTGACTCCACGAGATGGTGAAAGGTGATGCGAGGAATCTGACACTGCACTGTTGCCCTTCTGTTGTCTTGTACCAGTCTTGCCACTCTCCGTTCTGCCCTAACATTGACTAGTCGCTGACGGCCACAATTCGCACGTTCAGACCCAGATTTTCGGCTGACAGTCCGGTCTTTAAACACTTTAACAACAGCTGCTCTTGAACATTTAACAAATTCTGCTGTTTTGCTGATACTCGCTCCATGGCTCCGAGCGCCAACAATCATCCCACGTTCAAAGGCTGTTACATCGCGTTGTTTCCCCGTATCATCAGAAACAAATCACTTCTACTGTCGTGGTAAACAACCTGCTTCCCTATTTATAATGGTCTGGCCCTCTAGCAACTTCAGCGCCAAATTATAGCTAATTTACCTACAAACGTCAGGTGGTCATAATAATCTGGCCACTCAGTGTATATATCAATAATATAATGTGCCGAGCTTAAATTAAATATGCATCAAAACATAAACAACAATGTGCCAAAGTCCCCATAGGAGTGAAAATTCAAAAGTGATTACAGAAATTTAGATCCATAAAAGACTAATGGAAGGGTGAAAGTGATAGCAGTGGTAATAGCGATCTTCTATCCAACCTTTTGCGTACCGCACATCAAACAAATGCTCCAATCCACACGTGATAACATGGTGTGTATGTGGGTGCTCACCTGAGCTGATGACCAATATCGGCCATACAACACTGTTCCCTTCTTGGCAGGGAGGGACACCCTTTAGGCATATAGATCGGACCAGTTCACAATTATATCCATCCAGAAAGAGATAAGCAATAAAAACATAGTGCGTATCGTCCAGATAAATAATAAAACTTTAATCTCCCCTGATGAATATGCGCGAGACGTAATGCACGTAGGGTGGGCAGAGTAACTGAGGTCACTTTTGTTATCCGGCCGACCTGTGACAATGAAACTGTTACAGGTCGGCTCAGTAGATAGGGAAGTGAGTGAACACATACCGTCGCTTGCTCACTTCTCGATCATCTCCCTGCAGAGAGCCGTGGTTGTCAGTCACCGCTCCGTGCAGGGATTCCTCCCCTCCCCTGTCCGATCCTCCAGCGCTGACTGGTGGAACGGACGGGGGAGGGGGCGGGCACAGCTGGCTCTGCCTCTGGATAGGCAGAGCCAGCTGTCACTCACGCAGCTGGGTGGATCTCGACAGCAATGTCGGAATCCGTCCCAGCTGCGGCGTCTCAGTATACTACGAGCTGTAGCTTGCTATATACTGAGCTTTGGGTGATGGGAGGACTCTAGTTTGTGTCCCTCCCGTCACCCTTAGGAGAACTATGGGGAAAAGCCCTAACCCCATAGTTCTCCTTTAAAGAATAAAGTTTTATTATTTATCTGGACGATACGCGCTGGATTGAGTCAAAGTAAAACAGTGGAGAGAAGTACAATCAATGTTCCAGCTCAATACTGCACGAACGAGGACGCTCTCCCGTCCTTCCGGCCGGATAACAAAAGTGACCTCAGTTACTCTGCCCACCCTACGTGCATTACGTCTCGCGCGACTTCATCAGGGGTGATTCAAGTTTTATTATTTATCTGGACGATACGCGCTAAGTTTTTATTGCTTATCTCTTTCTGGATGGGTATAATTGTGAACTGGTCCGGTCTATATGCCTAAAGAGTGTCCCTCCCCGCCAAGAAGGGAACAGTGTTGTATGGCCGATATTGGTCATCAGCTCAGGTGAGCACCCACATGCACACCATGATGTCACGTGTTGTTATTATATATTTATTTATTAATTTTTTTTTCAAACATTACTCCAGATTTATCACCTTTTACACAGTTAACAAACACACAACAATAAAACAAAACACAACATAACATCAATCCCATCTAATCTCTATATAATAACTGATAACCAAACACCAATTCACATATGCACCGGGCTAATCTCTCCAGTTACACCCCATTAAAAGTCAATTACTGATAGTGATTGTAATGTGCCTTAATATTTACTACATATTAATTTAATATCATTAGTATTTCCCATTTAACTGGTCATCCAAGCAGCTTTCGCAATTCAGAATGACTTCAAGAAAAATACAGCAAGTCTAGTTGCCTTGACTTATTTTTTTACAGATATACCATGTCCTGGATGAATGAGAACCATCACAGACATATTTATACAATCATTAATATATCTGATCTGATTTATTTAGTTAGCTAGTTAGTCAGTTAGTTACAATTATTATTTGCTTATTTATTTACTTATTTATTTGTATTTACTTATAATTACCTACCTTTTTTAAATATTTATTTTTAATTTTTATTGATTGATTGATTGATTGATTGATGATTTATTTATTGATTTATTTCTATTTATAATTATTTCAAATTATAATTATAATTTGACACATTCACAGGGTAACACTTCTTAAAGTGCTTGCAGCTACACAGCGTTTGGCGTGAGGTGCTATTTGTCACTTATTTATAATTATTTACCTATTTATTTATTTACCTATTTATTTATTGATGTATTTATTTGAAAATGTAATTTATTGATTGATTGAATAATTTGTTGATGTTTTATTATTTATTTATCTTTTGCTGATTTGTATGAAAGGCTTAAGTATTTTTAAACCCCTTTTTTTGTTTGTTTTCCAAACCCTAACATTTCTCAAACTTTAATATTTCAATTGGCCGTAAAACACCCTTATTCAGCAAAACGAAAACTTTACTTTTAAAGCCGCCTAACCCTTTGCATAAATCCCCCCCGCCCTAAATTACATTTTAAAATAAATAAATAAGCCAAAAAATAAATTGGCTGAATATTATGGTAAGAGGAGGAGGGCGGGGCTCTTCTCACCATAATATCCAGCCAATTTATTTATTGGCTTATTTATTTTTAAATTTAATTTATGTATTGATTGATTAAAATGTTGATGTTTTATTACATATTTATTTTTTTGTTTATTTGTTATCTTGTTTTTGCCAGAGAATACGACGTTGCGTATTAAATCCTGAAAGCTCTAAATAGTAGAATGCGTCTTGTTAATTATTCTGTAACAGAGTAGCAGAATGCCTGCTGTTGGTTACCAGCAAAAAATAAATAAATAATTCTAGGAAACTAATAGAATTTAGTCCCTGAAATGACTTCCTGCCCAAGTTGTGTATTTCTCTCTCAATAAAACACAATGAAGTCCAGATAAGCAATTTGTAAATAAAAACTGAAAACTGAATTAGGTGAAAAACAGACCCAGAAAAGTGATTAGCAAATTGTCTGCAAACAGAAGTAAATTTTATGTTTATCCGTGCCAGATCTATAGAAGCAATGTCACCAAACCGTCCAACCACCAAGACCCTTCATCTTCCCCCCCTCAGCGTCCTATACATGTGTCCAATGAATGCGAACAAAGCACAAGGGGGAAAGAAAGAATGATCATAGAACTAGATAGATAGATAGATAGATAGATAGATAGATAGATAGATAGATAGATAGATAGATAGATAGATAAATTAATAGAAGGATAGATAGAGAGAGAGACAGAGAGAGATATACATAATAGATAGATACATAACTGATAGATAGATAGATAGATAGATAGATAGATAGATAGATAGATAGAAGGATAGATAGAGAGAGAGAGAGACAGAGAGAGATATACATAATAGATAGATACATAACTGATAGATAGATAGATAGATAGATAGATAGATAGATCAATAGAAGGATAGATAGAGAGAGATAGAGAGAGAGACAGATATATATATATAAATATAGATATATAAAAAAATAGATATATACATAATAGATAGATAGATAGATAGATAGATAGATAGATAGATAGATAGATAGATAGATAGATAGATAGCTCAGTGTCCTGCATTGCGGATCCGCACAGACTGACCAGCAGGAAACCTTCATGTTTCTGGGAAGTTGGGTCTGTAGAAGACATGAGGTGACCGGCTCTCCGGATTCTGGGAAACATTACAGAAGTCATAAAACCTGACTCAGCCTCCATTACAGCTGATCCCGGGGAAGTTTCTCTGTCATCTTAATGGGAAGGTCGTATATTAAACACGCGGAACCCAGCGCCCAGGTGGAATGCAGATCGGATTCTCGGTATGAACTCACCAGAACCACGGGGCAGATGGTTGTGGGGGGTAAGATGTGATCCTTCAGGGGTCCGCACTCACATTCCGGTTTCAGGTGGGACGCACATTTGTTGTGGAGCTGCAGATAAGAGAAAACAAGGATGAGACTTTCACTGAACACAAACCTGCAGAAGGGAGAGAAAGATCGGCAAAGAATCTAAAGATCCGTCATGGCTCACAGAGCCGCTTCTTCTTAAAGTGACACCAAACTCCAGAGTTACATCTTAAAAATGCATTTAAGTGATTGACTATGAACAACAATGTATCTTATTTGTGTATCACTCTGCTGTAGATCCTCTAATAAAGTCAAATTACAATAATAAAAAAAAACTTTAAAAAGTGACAGTAGACAAATAACAATAAAATACACAAAATTGAAAAAACAATACAAATACAAAGAACACGAATTGAAAAAAACTAAACTACTCAAAAAAAACACCCCCCCAAGAAAAAAAAATAACCCGTCCATATGGTAACAAGTAACTTTTTTCAGGCATATTTTACAAAAGCAGCTAAGGTAAAACAATTGTCGAAATCGATCTGATCATACTCAAATTAACATTAAAGTCAATTTTTTCCCTCCTCCCCAATGCTAGTGTAAGGACTTACCTTAAATGATATCTCTTAATCCGATCTTCTTCTTCTTTCCCGATGTTTTCATCTGTCCCTCCAGCGCTGCAGCGGGTCTCCGATCCAGCGCTGACTGCTCTCTACTTGCTGGCACTTCCTGTCCCACAGTGTCTGTCCGTGCGCACGTGTCCATAGACGTCTCTCCTCGTCTCCCGGCCGAAAATCTGAACTGCACATGCGACCTCGCCAAGATGCTTTGCGGCCGCCCTAGAAGTTTCGGATTTTCGGACGGGAGCGCGCAGCGAAGACAGGGGTAAGTTTAACCACTTGCTGACCGGGGTGTTTACACCCCCTTCCTGTCCCGGCCATTTTTCAGTATTCAGCGCTGCGGTACTTTGACTGACATTTATTCCGTCATGCAACGCTGTACTGAAATACATTTTATACCATTTTTTGGGGACAGATAGAGCTTTGTTTTGGCATTTAATCACCACTACAGGTTTTTTTTTTACTATACAATGAGAAAAGTACCGAAACTTTTGAAAAAAAAACCTGTTGTCACTACGTTATGTTATAAAACATTTATTAGTACCCAATTCTTTGGTAAAATATAAAAGACGGGGTCACGTCGGGTAAATAGACACCAAACATGTCAAGCTTTAAAATTGCGTGCACCCGCTAAATCGCAAAAAACTACCATGCCTAAAATTGACCATAGCCGATGCTTTTTAATTTCGTTCCACATCTGAATTCGTACGCATTTTCCAAAAATTCGGACATTCTGACACATCCAAATTTCCGAATCCCAATGCATCCGAATGCGTCCGAATCCAAATTTCCATTTCCGGATTTCGGATACCGTCCGAACTTTGTTCAAAAACGAAACTGAATCGGACATGTGACTATTCCGGCCAATCAGAGGGGGAATCCCTGCAGGGAGCCGTGAGTGACAGTCACCGCTCTCTGCAGGGACAGGATCGAGAAGTGAACAAGCGACGGTATTTGTTCGCTCACTTCCCGATCTACTGAGCCGACCTGTGACAGTCTCATTGTCACAGGTCGGCTCGAACTATGAGGTTGGGTGAAAAGCACTCACCTCATAGTTCTCCTTTAAGGGGTGTATTTATAAATTAGTAAATGTGACTTTCACTAAACATTCACCAGTGAAGCAATCACTGTCATTTAAAACATTGGTTCTCAACTGGTGGGTCGTGACCCAAAGGTGGGTCGCGACCCCATGTTCAGTGGGTCACCACATGCCATCCACTTTTCTAGGCTCTAGCGCATCACCGTCAGTTCTCGCGCCGAACGGCCATTCAATATATGCTGCCCGGTGCCGAGTGTCAGCTTGAGGTGGGGTGGAAGGATGGCCATAAGGGAGCTCCATCCATACGTGCATTGCTTACAGCTCCCTCGCGTGCCCTGTAGAGGTGCCTGGACAGAGTGGCATCATATTCTGACACAAGGGAGCTGTAAAAGCAATGCACACATATGGATGGAGCTCTGTCAAAGCACAGCAGCCCACACTGAACCCCAGGCTGAGGATCCACTCTTGTTCTCATAAGGTGGGGAGACTGGAGGGATCTTAAAATGTGTGCATATGTGTGTGAGATTGTCTGTGGTTGTGCCTGCCTGTCAGTGTTTTTGAGGGTCCACACTAATACAGTGCGTTAATTGCACAGCCCCATGCGATTAATGCACTGTACCACACAATCGCACCTTCTACGCGTTCTGGTGTGTAGATGCATTGCCATTAATTTGAATGACACCCCAAACGCACCTCCCACCCACAGTCTGACCGCCTGCACCCAAGCGCCCGATACTGCAATGCCATGCATTCCATTGCAGTGCGACTTGGGTCGCGACTTGATGGCCAAAGACAAATATGGGTCCTGGTGTTACACAGGTTGAGAACCACTGATTTAAAATACATGTACCTGGCAGATGTTTGGTGAATGTCAAATGAACTGGAATATGCACGTAAGTGTTAAATTCACCAGACATCTCCTTATTTTTTAGACCCAGTAACATCATCACTGGTTTTCTGTGTTTCTCCACGTCTCTATGTTTCTTACATGTATAACATGTAAAAAGTTTTGGCTCTTTTATGTCGTCTTTTTAATTTGAATTTCATTTTCTGCTTTAGAATATTATGCAATAAATTAGAAAAACTATATGAGACTCTTGCTCACTTCGGAGATCGCTAATTTATGCGGAGCAAACAGTATGAGGAACGTCTCCCTATTTCAGTCACAGCAACATTTTGGCAGTGGGAGTTTGTTCTTTGGTGTCAAATGTTTGATTATTCAACATTATAGCTAAAGCATAAATATTTCAAGCAAAACATGACGATGAAGTCACCTCAGTCTTAGTAAAGTTTCCTGAATTCTTCAACTAGTCTATATAGAACTTATATTAAACAGAACTGTTGGGGCTCCCGCCCTTCCGGTATTAACCCCCCCAAGTCCGCTTTAATTATTTTACATTATTAATAACCTTAAAAGAGAACTATGAGGTCAGTGTTTTTCCCCATAGTTCTCTTAAGGGTCACGGGAGGACATATACTAACGTCCTCCCATGACCCAAAGCTAAGTATATAGCGGGCTACAGCTCGCGGTATACTGAGACCACCGCAGGCTGGACGGATCCCGACAATGCAGTCGAGATCCACCCAGCTGCGTGAGTGACAGCTGGCTCTGCCTATCTAGAGGCAGAGCCATCTGTACCCGCCCCCTCTCTAGTACGTTCTTCCAGTCAGCGCTGGAGGATCAGAGCGGAGAGGGGGGGAATCTCTGTGGGGAGCAGTGACTGACAGTCACGGCTCTCTGCAGGGAGATGATCGGAAAGTAAGCGAGCGCCGGTATGTGTTCGCTCACTTCCCGATTTATTGAGCCGACGTGTGACAGTTTCATTGTCACATGTCGGCTGGAACTATGAGGATGAGTGAAAATCATTCACCTCATAGTTCTCCTATCCAGATCCAAGATACATGAATGACGCAAGACACTTGTCCTCTTCTGTTCTCCAGAGAAGTACAGTTCTTAATAATGCATAGAATGGTGTTCACACAGCGACATGAGTGCTGTTCTGCTGTTCTCTGTATCATTCTTCTGTGTGCCCAGGCCAGTGTGTGATGACACACCCTCAGGGGGTGTGTCCATGACAGCCTTAGCTCACAGGAAGTGGGTGGCATGATGCTGGATGTCGTATCAACCCCGAGGCGAAGTTCAGGCAAAGACCAGTGCAGGATGCAGAGGACAGAGCTGGAGCTTGGAGTAGGTGATGCTCATTGATTTGCAACATTTTCACCTTTTGGAGAGCAAAGGGGAGGTCTTGGGGGTGGGTGGCATTAAAATAAATGGCCATACACAGATCAGCCATGAGAGGTGAAGGGCAATTGCAGTGCAGTGTGATGCTTTGGGCAATGTTCTGCTGGGAAGCCTTGGCACCTGCCATTCACGCCTCTAGATAGGCAGAGCCAGCTGTCTCTCACGCAGCTGGGTGGATCTCGACAGTAATGTCGGGATCCATCCAGGCTGCAGCGTCTCAGTATACCGGGAGCTGTAGCTCGCGGTATACTGAGCTTAGGGTGATGGGAGGACGCTAGTTTGTGTCCTCCCGTTACCCTTAGGAGAACAATGTAGCAAAGCCCTGACCCAAAAGTCCCCCCCACCTCCCCCCACAGTGCTAATGTAAGGACTTACCGTAAATCATGCCTCTTAATCCGATCTTCTTCTTCCTTACTGTAGTTTTTAGCTGTCCCTCCAGCGCTGGTGCAGGTCTCTGTCCTTCTCTTCGTTCATGTCCCACGGAGTCTGTGCGGGTGCATGCTGCTCCATAGACTTACCTTGTGTCTCTCCTCGTCTCCCGGCCAAACATCTGAACTGCACATGCACCCGCCCCAAGATCCTTTGCGGCCGGCCGAGAAATTTTCAGATGTTCAGACGGTAGCGTGCGGCGGACACACAGTTAAGTATTAGCCCTGGTTCACACCTAGGCGTATTGCATATGCGCGTCTGGCACACGTTTTTTTTACCGCGATTCGCGGAAACAAAATTGCGCGACAAACGCGCGTTTCCGAGGACTACTTGGCTGTATCCCAATGGAAACGTGCAACAAAAACGGCCCAAAGTAGTACATGTACCTTTTCAGGCGTGGGCCGTTTTGTAGCGCGTTAGGGACGAAATATTCTAATGATTCGAGTTTCACCTGTATCTACTGCTTGGTAGCCGTAGATACTGTATATGCAAAAACAAAGGAGGGTGTAATAACCCTTTAACCCTTGCAGTCCCACTGCAAGGGTTAATATTTGTTTCTCCCAGAGTTCTTCTCAAAGACCTTGTTGTACTGTTGCTGCATCCCAGATAGCAAGGATAACTTTCCACAAACTTGTGTCAGGGTTAAAGTGTAATTTTGTTAACTTGCTGCACACATTCCTGGCAAGTTGTAGACTTGCAGAACACTCGCAGCACAAGTTCTAGTTGACACGTTTTGAATTTGTAGTAAATT